CTCCTTTATTATTTTACAAAACACGGACATAACACATTCACCTTTTGTGCATTGACTTTGTACTCGTGCTCTTTCTGTCTCCTCTCTCTCTCTCTCTCTCTCTGTCTCTCTCTCTCTGTCTCTCTCTCTCTCTCTCTCTCTCCTCCCTGCTGAGTATCCCTTTGCATGAAGCCCTGTCCACGCAACCGTCGACTCCTTCCTTGCTCTCGCCTCTTCTTTCTTCCGCCGATCCACTGCCTTTCCCGCCTGCTCGTCCTTCCCCCTGCTGCAATATGCAGGTACGAGCACCGCCTGATAGACGATATGGTGGCACAGTGCCTCAAATCGCCAGGAGGCTTTGTGTGGGCTTGCAAGAATTACGATGGCGATGTGCAGAGTGACACGGTAGCGCAGGGGTTCGGCTCTCTAGGCTTAATGTCTTCGGTGCTCCTTTCTCCAGACGGTCGGTCTGTTGAGGCGGAGGCTGCCCACGGCACCGTTACCAGGCACTACAGGCAGCATCAGAAGGGGGAGAAAACAAGCACGAACCCCATAGCTTCCATCTTTGCGTGGACAAGAGGCCTCAAGCACCGTTCCAAGCTTGACAGTAACGACGCACTAGAAGCCTTCGCGCAGTCGCTCGAAGACGCATGCACAGAGACCGTTGCTGGTGGAAAAATGACTAAAGACCTAGCCGTTTGCGTGAAAGGAGAACATGTCACATCCACAGACTTCCTTACAACTGAAGACTTCATAGACGAAGTTCAGAGGTGCCTTGAAAAGAAGCTGCACCAAAGGGGCATCATGAACTGAACAGGTGACTCCAGCAGGCTGTTTCAAGTACGCCGCAGGGGGGGCCATCGACACACATAATACCCACAATGAGGATTTACACACATAAGGGCCTTAAAAGGCTCCTTTTCCCCCAAAGATGCATCGAGCACCCCTTTCTTCCAACCACCGAAGACGCCACGCAGATCCCCGGAGGCCCCTGTTTCCCTCCTAGACTTAGAGGGCAGTGACCCCTCAGCCTCAGCAATGTGCGCTTTTTTGATCGACGGAGATGTGTAGAGGTCTTTCCAACTTCATGATAGGCCGCTTCGATGGTGGCTTCAGCCGGCAAAACGGTTCGCGCCAAGTCTATGCCCACCAAACTGCTGTTTTTGCAGTCTAGACACACCTCCCTACGCATGTCGAGAAAGCAAGTGCTGCGTGTAGTGGGAAGGGAAGTCTCTAGCAACGTCGGTTCCACTCCACGCCATATAGAACTCATGAAAGGAAAATCCTTGAGATGTACCTTCGTGCCTCGTAGGACAGCCGCCATAAATGGAAGCAGCCTTCTTGCTCTTTTTTTGCCCTCTCCTTCGGCATCTCCATCCCCAGTTGCGGCGCCCTCCTAGTGCCTCACCCAACTTCACCGAACGCGGCTGCATGCATGCAACTGCGCTTCAGCTGCTACTGCTGCTCAAGGCCGCCTCTCATTGGCCTTCTTTGCCCTCTGGGCCGAGGGCTTGAGACGTCTTTTAGCGCGGATAGGCGTTCCTTTCCGAATGGAATAATGCCTGATCGGCGTGGCTCCTATGACATTGCGAGCACGAAATGACTTAAGGTGCCTTGCAAACTCATGGGCTACACAATAGCGTAGGAACACTGGAGCTAGCTCGAGCTAGCCACGGGTGCGCCAAGTCATCCTGGGCCGAGTGTGTCTTGCTGATGTATATGCGTAAAAGTTAGGTATACGCTACTTGAAATCAGGGGTAGGGTGTTCATCTGGCGGTTGTACGGGATGCCTCTACACAAGAAAGTGATTCTTTCATCCCGAAAGGCTCCTATGGGCCCCCCTATTGCTGGTGCCTCTATAGGCGTCCAGCTAGAGGCTATAGCTACGCTCAGAAAAGCCCTGCGGCCTAGATGCGTAGCCAGACATCCTGCTAACAAGTTCCTGAGGAGTCTTAGGAGGCGCATGCATGTTACGGCAGATTTCAGAGGGAACAGCTGCCGAGACAGGGAATTCTGCATTCTTTATGCGCTGCGCAGGCTAGGGATATCGGGGCTGGCATCCTCTATTCTTCCTCTCCGAGAGAAAAGACACCCTCCAGGAGAACAGAAGAGCTTAAACGCAGTGGCGGGTAACCCTATAAGGGCGCTCTCGGTAGATTTTGGAGCAGTTGCCGATGCTCTGTTTGGTGTGTAAGCGTGTCTCGTCACAACCCTCGTCATGACGTCCATTAGCCCTTGCCTTTCGCTGCGCCAACTTGCGAAGTCGAACCCGACAAAGTGCTTGTTTTGAGACTGCCGCGCTGTGCACCCCAGATACCTGCAGAGTATGGTCTACAGCAGGGAGTCAGTCCACTTGAGCCAGAGCCCCCAGGAATGCCTTCCTCTTCACAATTTGAGCTATTCAAAGAGTAGGGCACACACAAAAAATGTCTTTCAAAACGCATGTTTAGTCCCAGTAGCGGTTCATTTTTCGCAGGTTCTGTAGCAGGCCGTATAGGGGGGCCCCCCGATCCTCGCGGTCACCAGGGCCCCCCTGGCCCCCTAGCGCCCTTTGCAGCGTCCACGAGTGTAAATGATCCTTTCTATCGAATTCTTCGCTTTTTATCCGCTTATGTGCACTAAGAAGTGAAATCAGCGCGGCTCTAAGGGGCTCTCCGAACTCCAATGCCCCCGAAGCGAAATCGGAGACACCCAAGACACCACCCCAGAAGGGCCTCGCCGCCTTGCTTAGGGGCCCCTGCTGGTCGAGAGCTGCTGCCACGACGGTTGTGTCACGCCTCCGTTGAAGCCTACAACAGCAACAACTTAGAGGGCTCAATATACGCATTTCACCCCTTGCAGGAGGAAGTTCCCCGCGCGCTCAGGCAATCGTGGGAAAAGCAGCAGGGCCCTTCCCACCCCCGATACAGCTGGCTCGCTGCTCCAACGAGGCAGCGCTTCTCCCCCTACCCCCTCCCTCCCTCCATCTCCCCCAAGGAATCTACAGCCACACCCTCCGGAGCTGCGGCAACGGCTGCAGCGGCAGTCGCTGCAGGGACAGGTGCCCTCATTTCTTGAACCTGCGTAGAGCAGCAGCCTGCGAGCAAGATGCGCGGGCGCGTAGACTTGCCACTGCAGCACCACCATTTGCTGCTGCTCTCACTGCTGCTGCTCTCACTGCTGCTGCTGCTCCTGCCAGCAACAACAGCAGCAACAACAAAAGGGCATGTTGGAGCTCCGTGCAAGTGGGCTGTGGGCCCCCCCGACTATCGCCCTGTGTGGCGAGCGCATGCGCCAACCTTCGGAAAAGCCGTGGAGGCCCCTCTGGCATTTGTCGGCTCGAAAGACTCTTCGAATCATGCCAAAGAAGGCGCATCTGACGGGCACCAGCAGGAGGAGGGGCGGCAGCATCACCTGCAAATGCCTAGGGGCCCCCTCGCCGGCAGCGAGCTCGATACAGCTGATAATCGCGAAGCTTCTCCAGCCGCACCAGAACCCCCCCCCTCAGCAGCAACTGAATCTGCTGCAACACAGCCGGCAGCAGCACCAGACAAACAAGACTGTTCTGTATGTGTCAAAGCGTTCGTCGTGTCTGGCAGCCAGCTGTTGGATCCTAAGGCCGTCGAGCAGCTCTCTCAAGAAACTCTCAGAGCGCATGGAAGTTCAACGGACCGAGGATTCGTGCTGTCTCCGGCGAGTTTTGAGGCTGCATGCAGCTACTTCAAAGCGGCGGTGCTGCGACTCTACAGTCAGCAAGGCTGGCGTCTTGCCGGAGTAGAGGCTCCCCCAGTGCAGCAAGGCCAGCCTCATGCGCCAGTTGTCGAGTTTAAAGCGATCGAGCCGCGCCTGAGCGCTGAACCCTTGACAGTTCGCTTTTTGGAGGATGATGACGCAGCAGGAGACTCAGAGGGGCAGCAGTCCCCTGCAGCGGCAGAAAAGGGAAAAACACGCCTGCAGACGTTGCAGAGGTTCTTAGGGCTCGAGCCAAGAACCCCTTTTCGGTGGAATGACAGCAGATGGAGTGCACTGCTGAGGAGCGGTACATCGGAGTATTTATGGTCTTGTGGTGATCCTGTGTCTCGCGCAAGCGATGCTCTACGGCGCCTCTGCTGCAATCCCGCTTGTTTTTGTGCCGCTGCTATTGTTGGTGCTGCTGCTATTAGTGCTGCTGCTGCCGTCATGAAGGAGTAAGCTATACTCCAGAAGGCCGTCCTGTGCTGTTGCGCGAGAAGCTGTCGCACTTGCGTTGCACTTGATGCCTCAGGGTTGTTTGAAGAGGCATCGGCAGTTGCGGTGTTGCAGGGAGATGGCACTGCTCAAGTTCGGCTGCGTTTGCGAGAGGCCCGTCAGACATTTCTCTCCCCAGGTAAACTCCTTGTCGAATGACACCTTCATTCTCCTCTCTGTGGGTGTGTGCATGTGTGTAAGTACATGTATGCATGTGTGTAAGTACATGTATGCATGTGTGTGTCTGGATATGCGTAAGTATATGTATGTCTGTGAGGTTATGTAAATGTATATATATATATATATATATATATATATATATATGTGTACATATGTATGTGTATATGCAAGTACCTATGTGTGTACATCCGTAGTTTAAATATACATGTGCAAGCATATGTATATGCATGCACGTATATTGAAACATTCGATGGGATTTTCTTCCGCCTGTACTGAGCCATCTCTACTCCTGCTCTCCTATGCTTGTCAACTCGGCCCTTCTCAGTCATACTGCACCCCGCCCATTCGGTCCTCCTTTCTTGAGCACTGCCTCCATTGCCTTGTGCCGCTTCGTCGTGTGTTCGCTCTTTGACCCCCGTCTACCTCCCCCTCTCTATTCTCTAGCTTCCGGCTCCTTGCGACTGTCTCTGCGCACGCACGCTCCTCTTCTCCTGCCGGGCACCCCGAGCTCCCACATTGTTGAAGCGTGCAAGGTTTAGACTTGCACAGGCTGTGCGCGGTGTCTCTTCTGCCGTTTGCTCAGGCGTCTCCTTTGACAGCGCGCTCAAGGGCTGTACTGGAGAGCTGACATATCAGGATCTTAACTGGGGGGGTCGCGCGTGGGCCCTGAGAGGGGCCCTTCGTCGCACCCTAGGGGCCTCCAAAACAGCAAGCAGACTCGGGGGGCCTCCTCAGAGCGTTGCGAGCACGGAGGTATCCCTTTCGAATGAGACCCTTCGAAAAGCAGCGTAAGTGTTTCTCGGAATATCTCGTGGCTGCGGTGCACAGGAGGCTGCAGAGGAGGAGTCTCGACGGACGGACAAGCCGCGAAAGAAAAGCTGTCGTGTAGGGAGGGTGGATTCTGGGGCACAAAAGGTCGATGGGGGCAGTCGCAACCGTGCGCATGCAGAGCCTCAAGGAGCTTTGTCAACGTTCTTGCGTGTAAAAAATCTTGGGGTACGTGTTTACGTTTGCGTGAGCTGGGTGTTCCCGGTGTATGTGTGCAGCGGCCTATGGGTAGCACGCCTCGTCCTCTCCGACGTATCCACCACGCACCAGGGGCCCCCCAAGGATAGTCTCAACTCACAGCAAGCCTCTCTAGGAGGCGCCGCACGCATTGTTGGTCGGAGACGAAGTGGAGCAACCTGCAGACTGGAGTTTCCTCTTGTGGGGGCCCCCGAGGGTGCGCCCCCCCTGGGGGCCCCCGAACCCGGCCAGCTTGCGATTGGGGGCCTTCTCGAGCTCGAGGCACATCGCCAAATTGCTCTGTTTGCCCAGGAAAAGAGGCCAGAGGCATCCGAGGAAACTGAGGCTTCTGCTGACGCAGCAACGAGCACTGGTGTAAGCGGCTGGGCAGCGACTCTCCAGCGACGTGTGCGGTCTGTGTGGAGGCAGGCGAGCCCCCTCACAGATCCGCAAGAGCTCTCCCTCTCCGAAGCCGCAGCTAATCCCCAGCTTGCCGAGGCTCCCGCTGGCCACGATACAGCGAAAGCTAGTCTTTCGATCTCCCTGCTACAGCGAAAAGAAGCACACCCCAGTTTCTTAGGGCCCGTGAGTCGGCAGCGGGGGAGCCAGCGAGAAGGGAGGGTTGCGTCGTCACTTCAGGAAATTTAAAGGGCTTAAGGGGGTCTTGCCGCCTGTAAGGCTGGCAGACCGATGCGCAGTACCGTCTTTCGTCCCCCGTTCCCCCCTAAACATCGCTCTCCCTTGGCGTCCTTTGGGGTGCCACCTGAGACGGTCCGTGCCAAAAGGGCCTCGCTCCTGCTACAGGGCAGCAGGTGCTGCCTAGATACACGACCAATCCCCTCTCAGTGGCCAGCTGTGCTCTCTGCGCGCTTGACTGTGCTGCAGCCTTTCGAGGTGTCTGTACAGCTCAGTGGCCGACTGGGCGCCTCGGCCCCACTCACAGTCGCTGGTCTCTGTGAGACAAGCGCGGAGGCTAAGAAGACTCTTTGGGGCCCCCCCGCCGACGCGCAAGCGGCACTCTCCGATGCAGCAGCAGCAGCAAGGGAGACGGGTGCAGGGGGTCGTGGTGCAGCAATCGCGGCAGCACCAGAAGCTGCCCGATCGGTCGCCTCAGACCGCCTGTGGGGCGTTAAAGAATCAGGGATGCTGCCTCATTCGCGTGGTCTCCCCCAGTGGGCCCAAGGAGCGACTCTCAGGATGGGGGCCTTCTTTCGCAGTACAGGAGAATTCCTTACGGAGAAACTGACTGCCCGCGTGCCCTTCGTGGCTGCAGCGTTGCTGCAGCAGCTGCAACGACAGAGGAAGGGGCAGGCTACAAGCCCACAGTCCCAGCCCTTTGTGCGGTTGGATGCAAAGGGGGCCCTCAGTGTCACCCCGTATGCCTTTTTAAGTCGGCCAGAGGGAAAAGTCGCCTCGGGGAGGCTTCACAGGGGAGTCTTGCAGCGGCTGCTGCGGTTGGTAGACTTGCGAGGGCTCTGTTTGCAGTCCGTCTGGGGAGCGCACCTATTCGTTGGATCTCGCATGCTGAAACTGCTGCCGCAAGGAGCCGATGCGCTTCTGCCTCGAGCAGCGGCAGCTGCTGCAGCTGAAGGGCCCCCTGGGGAAGTGCCAACCCTTGAATCCGAGGGGGCCCCTAGGGGCCTCGAGCGGTCACCGGGCGCTGCAGCGATCCTCCAGGAGCCTCACTCCCTTATTCTCTCAGCGGAGCACTCCCTCTTGCTTCCTTTTGTCATCCGGTAAGTTGCAGATGGTTGTAATTCGGATACTTCGCACGCCGTGCTAGCCGCTGCAAGCCCGATTCACTCTGTGCGGCCAAAGTACACTGCTCAGATCGGCGCTGTAGCTGTTGCTTCCTCTCGCTGCTCCTGTTCCTGCTGGTGGCTGCAGGCGACAGCTCTTGCCTGGTCAAGTGCAGACGTCGGTGCCTCTTTTTGAGCTGGTTGCATTTGTTGATGGCGTCATGATGCCCCTTTCCCTGTACTCTGGGGGGGAAAAGGCCGCGGCGGGGAGCCTCGACGCGCGAAACTCGGAAGGCAGAGAAGCACCATTACGAAGTCTGGAAGACACTCCAGCAGCAGCAGTCGATGCAGCAGCAGCAGCAGTCGATGCAGCAGCAGCAGCAGTGGCTGCTGCTGCAGATGCAGCAGTTGCTGGCGATGACAGCGTTGCTTCAACTAGCAGCGTTCACGAATCCGCCACATCGCGCCCATTGCCCAGAGAAACTGCAGCAGCAGCGGATTCAGCTGCAGCAGCACATGCAGTGCCTCCATGGGAGGCAACGGGAGGCATTGCTTTACGGCTCAGACCGCTCCTGCTTGGTCTCAGCTGGAACTTGAAAGCCCCAAAAGAAGGCAGCAGGTTCTTCATTCGACTCAAGCCCAGCCTCTAGTTGCTTTTTGCAGCTTGCATGCCTCTCTGGAGCACCATTCTTTAGTCAGTGGGCATGCTTGCGTAGTCGCACACACATGCATGCAGCGGCGTCAGCAAAGAAAAGAGACAAAACCCTCAACGGGGCAAAGGCATCGAATGGCTAGGCAGAGGAGACAGAGTCCGTCTTCTCCATTTCTGCGCCCGTTGGATAGTTCTTCTCGTGTGCATCCTTGCAGCAAGCGCATGCCTGTGCAACCGATTTCGCCTTCCCATTTTATGATGAAGTTGCTTTGGCGCCCTTTCGTTTTCTGCAGAGGGGTCGGTCTGTGTGTGCGTGTGACTACACCCCCGTGACGTCTTAGCCTTTTCGGGTTATGCCCTCAGGTGTTCGCTTTACGCCTCTCTCTTGCTTCTGCAGTCGCGCGTCTCTCAGGCCTGCATCGTCCATCTTCCGTGGCAGCAGGCGTCTGCATGGCTTTTTTGACCTCTCCTTTTCCGAACCTTCCTGCATGGGCCACCCCGTGTTGCTACCCTTTTTAAGCCTCTCAGAAAGCAGTTTTCTCCCCCACCCTAGGCAACAGACTCCTAGAACAGCACTCGCTTTCGCTTTTGTGCTGCCTCCCTCCCTCACCATTGGCCTTCACATTCCCACGCATTCCTCCTCGACTATATATATATAATATATATATAATATATATAATATATATATTATATATATATCATGATCATTCTCATCGCCTTCGCTTAGCGCTTTCCGCGTCCATGTCGTCTTACGTTTCTCTCCCTGTCTCGCCAACCCATTCAACCAGCGGACGCCCCGCTACATCTGTGTACTGACTCGCAAAGTTTCTGTTCTTACACGAAGCAACACCCCCTGCTCGGTGCATGACGCCTATGTGCACATGCCGCAGCGCAACTGTAGGGGGAAGATGCCACCTGGGAGGTATTATGCGGGCAGCCCACGTGCCTTCATTCTCTTCTTCTTTCGCAGCGTATTAGGACTGCCCCGCCTCACTTTATCGAGACTCAATGCAGCAAGGTACGCAAGGAGTGCGAGAAAGAGATACAGCGCATGCCACGCGCGCAGACACCGGAGGCCGAGGAGAGACACAACAAACGGCAGGGTTATGCGTTACAGGGGCCTTTAGCATACACCGTTTAGAATAGCTGCAACGGCAGTCGGGCAAGCGCAAGTGGATTCGAAGGCGCCTTTTTTTTGCACAGACGCCACCAGCCGCTTACAAGCAGAAAATTTTTAATGCGAACATGGCGCGTAAGAAGGGGTCTCTCGTACAAAGAGTGTCCCAGGCGTAAAAAACAGAAATCAGCAGATGCGCTTTTGTACATCTATATTTATGGTGTGTGAGCCACCGTCAAACAAACAGCGGCTTCTCAACCAAGCTCCTGTTACGGAGCCTGAGGAAAGAGGAGCAGCAGCAACCCTAAATCCGATTAAATACAAAGCGGAGGGGCTCACTTACTGCCCCCATCAAACTAACGCTTGTCTCCAGAGGGGTCCTTGGAAAGCCTCCAGAAGGAGACCCCTCTTGAACCTAAGAGAGGAGCCACTATCCTACAAATGAGAGACGCCTCCTTTTAGCAAGGCCCCTGAAAGCTCTGCCTTTCTTTTCGGATGATGCCTATAGTTCCTGACACTGCAGCAACCCAACGCAAAATGCGTGAAGACAGAGGAAGGGCGCTTGGAATCGAAGGCAGGCATGCACGCGGAAGGCTGCTGCCCGTATGAATGTATATACGTTGCAGACACCTGCGTTCGACTCTCGGGACGGGCATACCTAGCATGCAGGCCATAGAGCCAATGATCATTGCCAAGAGAAAGAGCACCAAGTAATGATCAGCCTTCTTCTTTTTCACCTGCGCAAGACACGCCCCTACTGCCGCCGCTGCTGCCCCCAAAACTCTCCCCTCTCCATACACCCATGCATGCATCGGCCTCCCTCTCTCGCACTGCCTGCCTGCCGTGCGCAGGCGTGTAGAGCAACCCAGGAGCAGCTAGCTCGCGTCGCGTGTACTCACCACACGGTCCACAAGAAACTTCCCTATAAGCGCAGCAGCGAAGCACATACAACAGAAGAGGAGGCAGTAATCCCATGGCACCGAGCCGTTGATGAGACTCTTGATGGCGGCGCTGCTGCTGCTGCTGAGAACCGAGGCTGTGTTGACAGCAGTAACAACAGAAGGCAGCAAGCCTCGAGCGAGCATCAGAGGCCCCATCACCATCGAGCCACCAATGCCGACTATTCCCCCTGCAAAAATCGAAAGAAAAACTCAGGCGCAACACACTGAAACTATTAAGCCACAATTCTTGGCCAGTGTAGCGAGCCTGCTGTACGGGGGGCAAAGCATGTGGTGAAGATCTATCTTAATATATATATAGATATATATATACCTATATATATATGTCTTTCTAGGTGCCTCTATCTCTATGCCTATGTCTGTCTGTCTACCTGTCTCTCCTTCTCCCTCACTTTGTATCGTCTATCTCTCGCTCCCTCTATCTCTCTCGCTCTCTATCTGTCTCTCTAAGTGTCTCCCTCTATCTCTCTCGCTCTCTATCTGTCTCTTTGAGTGTCTCCCTCTATCTCTATCGCTCTCTATCTGTCTCTCTAAGTGTCTCCCTCTATCTCTATCGCTCTCTATCTGTCTCTCTAAGTGTCTCCCTCTATCTCCCTCTATTTCTATCTCTCTCTCTGTTTGTCTCTCTGCCGTTCTCTAGCCTTGGAGCGCAAGCATCCACCGCAAAAACACAACGCTTCCGCTACACCCCAAGAGCCCGTTCGAAAGAGGCTACGGCCGAAAGCACGCACCGATCATCCCTGCGCAGATGCTCTGGAAAAAAAATTGAATAGCGACACTATGCGTAAAAACCAGATCTCCCTTAACCTTCTGCGTTCCGTTTGCTTCCCAGTGCCTATCACGGGCAACAAGGAGATACCCCCGGTGAGCAGAAGCTGTTAGCATGAGCGCAGCGCCTGCCGCGTAGAGCAGCCAAAACTCCCAGCCGCAAAAAGGCACCTGCATGCAGCAGAGAACAACGCATGCAATCGGCTGCAGCCTGTTGCTACGGTTATTCCGAACATAGATTGCACGGCCGTGGGGAGCTGCGCGTAGGACAGAGTTGAGCAGCCACACGCGCAACATGCATGCAGCAAGAAACACAACTAGGAAAATTCCAACCCCTTACGCCTTTTTCTTTTGCCACGCACCAACCACCCCTTTGCTCAAAGCTGCTGTCAACACGAGAACAGCAGCAGCGAAGACGTAGGAGAGACAGACAGACAGACAGACAGAATGAGAGAGATACACAGACAGATATATGTATGTGTATATTTTTAGACGCACTAGGAGAGACAGATATGTATATATATATTCTCAGAGATACATCCCCAGCTTACCAGATGAAAGCTCGAGTACTTAGATCCTCTAATCACCGCCAGGCCGACATCTACCAGCCATAACAACCCCAATATCAGCCACTTCTGTGGGAGAAATCAGACACATATAAGCACAGAAAAGAGCAGCTTCGCGGGCATGGCCTCCTCAGAAGCGTGCAATAATGCAGAATCCCCCACACTTCGCTCCTCCACTAGCGCAGCAAACAGTGCAACAAGGCGAACGGTAACCAACAACCCCAAACAACTGCCGCGCAGACTGCTCGCTACCGCCTCACGGAAAGAGGGCACAACGTCCAACACCCCTTCTCCGATTCCTCGATCTGAACGCTGCAGGGGTGACGTCTCGTTGAGAGAGCCTCAGATAACTGTACTGCGGAAGTGGTGGAGAGCTGAGTGGCACCAACAGACTCGTGCAGAAGCTGCAGCGGCCGCTGCTGCTGCTGTTGTTTCGGGAGTTCCTCTGAGAGCATACGACACAGCTGCACTGGAAGCCTCCGATTGAGCACCAGCTGCATTGCATGCGCCCTCTACGGCGAATGGGAAGTAAGCGTGGGCAGCAGGAGGCATGCAAAATGTTTCAAAGTGCACCAGCATGTAGGTGACCGTGTTAATCGGGAGGATAGTAAAAAGCTACCTTACAACAAAGTCGCTAGCTGGCTGTAACTCGAGGGGACAAGACCGCAGTTTCAAGCACCTCCTGCCTGCCCCCTCCCTCAAGCATTTTCAACTGGCTAAATTCGACATACCCTCTAGAGTCAAGTGGTGCTGGTGCCTCTGCGGGGTTGCGTCTGCTGTGTCTGCTGCGTCTGCTACTGCTGCTGCTGCTGCGTCTGCGTCTGCTGCTGCTCCTTCTTCCAGCGGAAGAAAGGCTTCCCCCTTCAGCGTGAGAGGGCCAAGATCGCTTGGCACAGCATTAGCAGGAGCACTATCTCTCTCTGTAGCAGCAGCGACGGCTATGACTGCAGCAGCAGCTGCTGCTGCTGCAGTCTGCCGCTCATTCTTTCGCTCCGCAGCTAGGCGTTTATACTGCTTAATGCACATGTACGCCGAGTGCGAGAGCACAATAAGCAACAAGGCCATGATTAGCCAAGCGCCAAGGCAGCGATTAATCACCAATCCAAAAGAAACTCCTGCAATCTGCGCAGGCCCAAAGAATAAGACCTGCACACGCCAACAAAATACACCGCAAAAAACAGATTCTACCCGCCGTTCAGGCTTTTAATCCTTGAGAAAGGATTCTACCCTAGATCATTACTACCTATGACATATCTCTCCCTTTCTCTCTCTCTATATGTATATGTATATATATATATATATGTATATATATGTATGTGTATATATATGTACATGTATATATATATTCGCAGATGCTATACTGCTGCGTGTGGAGAGAAACTCTATTGGAGCATATACGAGCAGGGAGCAGACAGCGCAACCGATGCCTTTTTGAGGCCTCTCTTCCTAGCGAGCTTGTGCAGGGGGGGGGGGCAAAAACAGATGCAAAAGAACGGGAGAAAGCAGGAGTCGATCGCAAGCACCGTGAAGGCGCTTACCAAATCCATATCGATCAGCGGCCTGTGGGGGATCTCTGGGTGGCTCCTGCGCAATCCAAGTAAAGTGCCTGCAAGCACTCCCCCCGACATGAGAGCTTGACTTGTCACTGTCGCTTCATGAGCGGAGAAACCCATGATCAACGTCATGAGGGGTACGTACACTGCCCCGCCTGCAGCAGAAGCACAAACGGCATAAAGGCGTAATAAGGATTTCTCGTTTGGGGGGGAAAGGAGGAGCAGTAGTGGGGGACGGGGGGGTTAAGAGGAGGAGTAGTATTAGGAGGGAAAAGGAGGAGTAGTAGTAGGGGTGGGGGGTAAGAGGAGGAGTGTTAGTAGGAGGGAAAAGGAGGAGTAGTAGGCGGGGGTAAGAGGAGAAGTAGTCGTAGTAGGAGGGAAAAGGAGAAGTAGTAGTTGGAGGGGTAAGAGGAGGCTTCCTGCGCGCACTTGCGTCAGCGCAAATGCAGAATCACAGATCTCGGAGAACGAGTACCCCCCTCCCCCGAAACACACACCCATAAAGCAGGGGAACAACACAGATGCTCCGATATGGCCATTAGAAAAAGTGCCAAATATGGGAAAAGGAGGCAAACAAGAACGCCTTTGCTGCCCCCACATGTAACTACACGCAGTGCAAGCATGCCTCAATCTTGATCGCAACATCGTCACGTGAGCCGGATGCAAAAAGAAAAATGCAGAAAAATAAGCGCACAAACATACTTGATGAGATGACCTTGCTCTAGGGAGCTTGAATGATGTCATAAAAAGCCCATAGATATCTATATATGTATACATATATATATATATACATGCAGATAAATGCATATAAGTACATATATAGAAACATATATGGATAGGGATAGCGAAGGATACACTGTGCATAGAGCGAGAGTAACCAATGTACAGCAGCCCTATCCTTGTCACGCAGCTCTCTCTTTCTGTCTCCGTAGTGTTTATATGCATGTATATATATGGAGAGAGACGATATTACGACACACCCTTTATGCTCCCCAATGGCATATAGCGGCGAAGAGATGTATGGATAGTTAAAGGAAGCGGGGAGAGAGCCATAGAGGGGGAGAAAACGATATATATATATGTATATATATACGTGTATATATACATATACATAGAGAAAGGCGGTCTGAGCAATAGGCCTCTATAAAGACATGCACCAGCAGACCACCAAGCGAGGCAGCAAGAGCGGCAAGGCGTCGCCAGGGGATGGAGGTGAGAAATATATAGAGAAGCATGCATCAAGTAAGAGCAGGAGGCGTCACAGAGGGTCCTATCGACAAGGGAGAGTAAACGATGGGATATTGATGATGCGGCAGAAAAGGACTACCACTGGGTGTCACGGAGGGTTGGCTCATTGTGCGAAGCACACATCACGATATGCGTACATATAAATACATATAAATATATATATATACATGTATGTTGTCTAAAGAGTCGTGCGTTGAGGGTTGCGTTCCTACCTCCAGTGCCGGCGCAGACCGCTACGATACTGGCGAGGGCGATAAGGATGACACCAATGACTTCTCTGTAGGAGGCATCTTTAAGAGACTTCAGTTCTCTGTCTGGTACTGCATCCAGGCGTCGGATGAGAGGATTCGAAGAAGGCATGTTTTGCTCCAATAAAAGTCTTTCTACTGGCGTGCTTGCGCTGTTGCTGCATGGCCCTTTGGAAGTGAAAAGCCGAATAACGGGCTCTTGAGGCGCATGCAGCGATGCGCTGCTGCTAAATTGCAAGGAAACGGCGTAGAGGATCGCAAGGAGCAGGCCTGTGCAAAGAATGCCCATGAGGATTTGGGGGGCCCTCCCTGCGGGGGGCCCCCCCCGAAATCGCGCGTGGTGGGGGGAAAGCAAGGGGTGCTTCCGCTTCATCGCTTCTGCATGGCCGTCTCCACGGGCAGAACAGCACGCCGCTTCTGCACTTTCATGCTCTGCAAGCAAAACTGTGACTGTTCCCCTACTGCTGAGGCTGCTGCAATTGACGCTGCTCGCCTCCTCGCGCTCCGGCACGCACTGCTGCAGCCGGTGGAAGCGAGCTGTAGAGGGCAACGTCATGTTGCAGCTCATTAGAAGATGCCACTTTGCAGCAGTTCCCCGTCTTCTTCGTGCTGCCGCTGTGGCTGCTGCTGCCGGCGGGTGTAGTGACAGCGCTCTCAGCAGCTCCCAGGCTCTCACAGCAAGGAAACCCTAAGAATCCTTCATAAAATATTCTGTGTGCAGCTCAGAAATGCATATTCAGCGAGTTCCAGGAAATGTGGAAGTTCTCAGCATCTTCTATGGATCGCTCCCTCCCTCCCTTGAATCCCGACACGGTGGGGGCCCCTCCGGCGTAAGGTGGTGGGGGGGCCCCCTCCTGCCCGGGGCCCCTGGCCTCCAGGGGCCCGGAGGCCCCCTATCGCTCCTTCAGGTGCTCGCAAATACCCTTTCTCTGTATTTTGTCTACTTACACGCCTAGTGCAGAGCTTAAGGGGCCCCCCTACTGGGAGCGCTCTACGGATGCCTGTCGGCGAGGGGAACCTCTAGGCCCCCTTCCTCCCATGCGGGGATGTGCTGCGGTTAGTTGCCCTAAGAACACAACTCTAGCCTCATCTCACCCGGCTCCTGGCTGCTCGAACGCACCAGCTGCAGATCGGGATACCACAAACACGGCCTCCAGATTCACCGACACTGGCAGCTACGGGGGAGTTAGTACCTGGTGATGGCGTAACACGCGTGGTTTTTTTAGAGGGGCTTTGACTGTGTGCAGACAACCAACAAAACTTGGGAGCGGCCTGCCATCTAGAGCACCGCCGGTCCCACTTCGTTCCGTCTCTAAGTCACTGCATCGAGGGGAGAGAGCAAGCGACTCTCCTGCTCCCCTCCTCCTAGCATGCGAGTGCCTTCCGTTCCGTGTGCTGTTGCATGGGGACTGTTGAAGGCAGCTAAACCAACCTCGAAAGCCACGGCTTTCTAATGCCCTTGTTTACTCCGTGTTTCCCTTTCTTTAGGCCCCTCCCTCCACACAGCTACCCTATAAGCCCCCAGCCGTCGACAAAGGCGTCGCACGTCCAGCCATAAACAGGCAGGCACGGCACTTGCAAGGGGCAGGAGTCGGTAGCGCATTCGACACATCCGCCTTCAACCTCTAGTGATTGGCATGCGTGCCACTTTCCAAGGCGGCAACGCCGCGTCAACGTTTCGGAGTTCCCAGACTTGACACTACACGCACCAACACCTTTCTAGTTACAATCTGTGCATTGACACAGGCCCCTATTTCTACCCTCTCGGTAATTAAACGTGCTCTTGCTTTTGCCTGCTCCCCAATGGGGTGTCTACGGAGCCTCTGTGTGCTCGATGAGGGGCTGCAGCGCATCCTGCTGCATCTTCTGCTGCAGCATGAGCTGCTGCTCGCGTTGCTCTATGTGAAGCATAAGGAGCTCTACTCTCGCCTTGATCTTCACAAGGGCCCCTTCAACCTGCCGCCTCTGCTGCAGCTGCTTCTGAAGGAGCACAAGCTGTTGCCTCCCATCGGGAGTGCATGCGAGGGATGGCGCGTGGTGCTTCACGATCTCCTCGATCCAGGGGCCCTTGCAGATGCTGCTGCTTGGTTTCTGCTGCTGCTGCTGTACGAGCAACTGCAGCAGCGACAAGGCATGGGAGGGGGTTAACGCTGCTGCTGCCGCTGCGATCTCCTTCTTCTTCAATTGGCCTTGCGACAAAATCGATTCCAAGAGAGGCACATCTGCCGTCAGCAGAGCCTGCCGCAGGATCGACCCCACATTATTACTGCTGCTATTAGTGCTGCTGCTATTAGTGCTCGCTGCTGCTGCTGCAACTGCTGCCTCCTGTCGCTGCCTCTTTTGAGATTCCCCTGCCTTGCCACTGACAGTGCTCAGTGCACCCCGCTTCAAACTCGACAAGGCTGCATCGTTCGGCATAATGGCGTTAGCTGCTGCTGATGCTTCTTCCCCGCTGGTAAGGCTGCTGGGAAGCCTCCCGCCGCTGACGCTAGTACGTCGGCGATCTCGTTTCGCCCCTTCTGCTTGGACGGGCTCGACACGCTGCAAGCCGCACTTATCGTCTCTGCAGCTACTTCTTGTTGGCAAGACGAGCGGCTCCCCCTTCTCCTTTGCCGCTGCTTCTCCTGCCGAGCCTCGCAACTCTGCAATGTGGAAAAAGGGAGCCAGAAGGTCACCTCTAGCGACGAGCAGAACCTGTCGCTGCAGCATCAGTTGCTGCTGCATGAAGAAGACACCCGTTGCAGCGCTGTGCTCCCTTCCAGGAGACGCTGTCAACGCCAAAGAGCTACCTGCTGCTGCTGCTGCACCCTGAGTAAGGATGGAGAGGAGTGGCGCTGAGGGAACAGCAGCGGCTGCAGTGTCTACTAGCCAACAGACCAGCTGTTGCTGCTCTGTAAGGCAGGTCAGGAAAAGCGGAGCCTGCGCGTGCTGCTGCTCTTGGGGTGTACCGACACTGCTGAGGCTGTGCAGCAGCGCCAGCTGCAACAGTCGCTGGTGGTATGCCACCACACCCCACACAGGGATCTTCAGCTTCTTCAAGGTCGTCTTTTTATTATTCTCGCCAAATACTTCAGGCGGCAGACGCCAAAGAGCTACCTGCTGCTGCTGCTGCTCTGCATGCGTTCCTCTGCAGCAGATGGCAGCGACAAGGCCAGTCGTTGCGTCGGCAGCCACGGCGCTAAAGGCAGCGCTTCCCCCCTGCAGCTTCGCCACGAGCTTCTGCTCCTCCAAATCGAAAACTACAATGTTGCTGCTGCTGCTGCTGCCCTGGCTGCTGCTGCCGCTGCTCAAGATTACCAGCTGGCGTTCTGTCGGATCCCTTTGCACCAAGATCGCCTGAGCAAAGCCTCGCGCAATGTCTGTTCCTCGCAGCACTTGCCCTTCGTGCAGCAAATCGATAATTACGAGCGAAGAGACTGCGGGGGATCTCCGCAGCAGCACCAGCAGCTCGCTGCCGCTGCTGCTGCTGCTGCGGCTGCTTGGGAGCGGCAGCAGCGCTCTTACAGCGGTCCCCCCTGCCCCCCCTCCACCATCTCCAGCAGCAGTAGCAGCGGCAGCCATTGCTGCTGTTTCATCGTCCTCTTCTGCCGCGGCTGCCTCCGCAGACACGTTCAAGTGCAACGAAAACATAAGGGCTCCACCGTTCATGCAATCCATGGCAGCAATCATTCCTGCCTCAGTTCCGATAACCAGCAGCAACTTGCTGCTCTTGGAGCTGCCGCTCGGGAGCTCTACAAAGACAACCTGACAGATGGAATGCCCCATGAACTGTCTTTGAAACTCGAGGGAGCCCTCTGCTGCTGCTGTCGCTTCGTCGCCAGCAGCAGAATTCGCAGCTCCTGTGCATCGCCAAACTCGGATTCTGCTACGCGGCAAAGAAACATTCGCGCTGTTGCACTTCTGCTGTGCTTCCGGCTGCGTTTCTTGCTGCAGTGAAAGCGAAGCAGCAGACGCAAAGAAGGTGCCGCAAGGAGAGAACGCAGACCATCCCGGTCGAGGCATTGCAGAAGCTGCAGAAGCGGAAGCAACAGTAGCAGCAGCAGTCGTTGTCGTCATCGCCTCGGCAGATTGTGCTGCGGCGGTGACTGCCGCTGTTGCCACAGTCCCCAGTGTAGCCTTCCCCATGGTAGTGCTACTACGTGACAATGTCGGTAGAGTTGCTGCTGCTCAAGTCTCTTCTGCCGGCGCGCTGCTGGTGTTGCAGCCGATACAGTGCGTGCAATCAACAGCAACCGTCCGAAGACGGGGGGGGCAGCAAAAGAACAGCAACACGCGGCTTGCCCCGAGCGCAGCCACAGCAGCAGCTGCTGCCGCCGTTGCTGCAGCAACTGCAGCAGAGTTGAACACTGAAGTTTTCGGCAAAGCAGGAGAAGTTCGTCGGCACCCTCCTCAAGGTGAACGAAACTCCGCCCACTCCACGGGTAGGACGGCAGCAGCAGTGCTTCCTGGAAAAACGCAGATTGCAGGAGGCCTGCAGCAAACGCAGAAGGCGAGAAATATAGCACCGATCAAAAGAGTTTGGGGAAGGCCTAGCTATTTGGTACCGCCGTATCTCCCCACATTGAGCGCAGCTTCTGCAGCTGCTTGGTCGCTACTGACCAGCACAGGCCCCACATCGAGTAGCGCAGAAAGCCCTGTAACACACCATGGCTGCTGCAACCAAGAGTGGACACACACACAGATATTTAAAACTTCCAGGTATATATACATATTTCAACATAATACGCATTTTTCTTCATGAAAAGTAATGCCTATCTGCCTCCAGACGTGCTGCTCCTGGCGGGCTGCCACCGATTAAAACGCACATCGCAGCCCCCTGACCGCGCGGCGGGAGGCTCATGAGCATATTGCATGACCAGAAGCAGCCGCGATCGCGGTAAAAAAAGGTGGATTCCTTTTATTCTGTGAATAAGAAGTCACACGATCGGAGTAACGGGTGCACTTCGACTGCTGCAAATAGCTTTGGCACCTGCATCCATCGCGCGCTGACCAGACACTCGGCAGCCCGTCCGCAGATTGCGGCGTGGCAAGAGAGCAGCGGCGGCAAGAGCATCTGGAATGACTCCGTATATGTATTCCAGCGGCTTTGCAGCACGAGTGAGAGCGCGCGACTCGGAAGCGGGGGAATAGCCAGTTCTGCGGAGAAAAAAACCTGCATAGCTCCCCGCGAACACAATGGGGGCGTCCGAGGAAGAGGTGGCGACCCTTGTGCGGCAGAGCGAGAGGATCTTGGATGCTGTTTTGACCGAGCAGCTGCAGAAGGTGCAGCAAAAGCAGAACGACATCCTCAAGGAGATGCTTGAGGTGTACGTGTATACACCCTGGCCTCCTCGGGTTGCTCTTGAGCCGTTCATCCTGCGCTTCCAGCTGCTTCCCTGCACTGCGAGGCAGACTTTCAAGCTCCCAAATAGGCTCGCTTGCTCTCTTGAATAACGCTTGCTACTGTCGCGTCCTGCTTGTTCTGCGGTAACACGTGAAATGCGGCAACCGGCTGTTTCCTGTGCAGAGAAAACCTAAGGGATCATATTCCTTTGGTGCGTCTACAGGCGCAACACGTCACCAAGGAACGGCGACGGTTAGACGCGGCTTTGCAGGATATGCGCATCCGCCCTCCTGCTCCACAGCCGCTGCAGCAGCAGAACGACCAGCCGCAGCAGCGGCGTCCTATAGAGCCTTTCCCGCTGCTATGTCTCACTGATATCGGCTCGCACTGTTACCTCCCCGCCGTGGCGTAGGTCATCACGCACTTGCTGCGGGGCCTTTTTCTGCTGCTGCTGTCCACGCAGAGGGCCCCCCCCCCCCTGAGGTGGTTATGCGGAAGGGTGCAGTTGTCGTGGCGATGGCGCGTGTGTGTTGCGGTTGCTTTTGCAGGAGGGATGCTAGCCACTTGCTGGTGTCTGTTGGCTTCAATTTTTTTCTAGAGATGCACTTGGATGAAGCTGAGGCCTTTCTTAAGAAAAAGCAGGACCTTCTCCGCAAGTGCGCGACTCCTCGCATGCTACGTCGGCTTTTTGTTAGGCATGCCCCTCGCTGCATCTTCGGGCTGTTTTTTGGTGCTTTTAAAGCCGGATGCTTGCTGCGTGTGTGTGTATATATGAGCACCGCCACTTGAGGAGGCTATCCTGCCTTCCCGCTTTCTCTTATTACCACTTCAGTACTCATCTGAGGTCACCTTGCTGGCTCTGACAAGGCTCCACAATCCTTGTGTCTTTCGGTGTGCGCGCATGTCCACCGCTATCTCGCCACCACTCTTTGCTTCTCCTGCTCTGGTTGCTCGGATTTGCCGCTTCCCAGTGCCTTGAGTCACTGCTTGCTGCGTCTGTGGCTACCGTTCTGCGCTGCCTTGCGCGGCGTCCGTCTCAATTTGATGCCTACAGCGCCTCTTGCTGCTGCTGCTGCTGCAGGAAGCACGAATTGTGGGCTTGGAAGAGCGCTCAGCTCAAAACACAGATTCGCATGGTGGGTTGGCATACGCGCGTGAACCCTCATGATGTACTCATGTTTTCAAGAACTTATCGACAGATGTCAGTCTCTCTGTATGTACATAGCTGCCATCAGTGTCTTGTCTGGCTGGTGCATATTTGCGACCTCTCTCAGCTAATGGAGGCCATCTCCGCGGTTTCCGAGCATCCGATGCTGCAGGAGCTTTTGTAGAGTTACACTCGCGGGCTTAGAGGGACCTTCAGACTTTGTGAGGACGTACAATGGAGGGCTGTGTGGAGCTTTAGGAGGGTAGCCGAATTTGGGGCTTTTGCATGCCGCCTCCTGTGTCTAGGAGACACCAGGTCACGGTTGCAGTTTAGGCATACATGCACATGAGTGTGTGCGTGTGCATGTGTGATAACAACACTACAAGAGGGGTAGAGGACAAACTGTTTTTTTGCGAGACCGCCATGCGTATCGCAGATGCAGTTTGCTGAAGGGGGAACAGATATTATCAATGGCCTATACACAGTATGCTTAGGGTATATACGGGCGGCTGTACCAGGCGGTGCACGTGCAGACGCACAAATGCACTGTAGTTAGTGCATGCCACTTGTTTCTTCTGGTGTATATAGAGCCCCCGCGTACAGTCACGATGGGCCCAGGGGCTGAGGAGACGTAGCAATAGGCAGACGAGCTGGCAGCTCAAGGAGGATGTTTCACGGGCTGTTTGGGCTAAAGAACAACTGCGTTGACTGGTAGAACTTTGCAGCTGAACACAGGCTTCATGAAACTGGAGGCCCCTGGAAGCAGCTGCTCATTAGAGCGACGCGACCACACACAGAGCTGTTGGGAGGGTGCTAACATGGGTGCCATGAAGGTCATGAATGCTCTTTAACGCTCCAGGAACGTACTTCTAACTTCTTCTATTAACGCTTAAAATACTATTCGGGTGTAGGACTTGATGCGTGCTAAATATCAAGCGGTGGCATACCTTGGATCGCGGTATTTCTAGAAGAGGAGGCGTTTGGGGGAGAACAAAGTGCAGCCAGAGTGTTCGTGCGCCCTAGGCTGCATCATCGCCTCACAAACCGTTTGACTTTCGCGGCCTCTACCGGAAAGCGATCGTACCTTCATTCAAGCCTCCAGTAAAACACTCCACAATTTCCACGTACATCTCTCCTACTCTCATTCCCCGCCTGACCCGCCGGTAGATTACCAGCACGGCGATAGGAGATGCAGTAAGTGCTTAGCGCGTCGAGAAGCACTGCTTGACACACGCCTTGCTGATTCACTTGTCTTCTCCGCTTGCGTATGGTTACGAGTGCAGCCAAGCCACAAAACATCTACGGCGAATGTGGCGAGCTAAACTACACTCACAGCCCGCCTATTATCCAGTTGTACTTGATTAGGCGGGTGTGGAAAGATTCACTACTTGGCGTGACTGTTGATATATATACATATATATGTGTATATACATCATGGGTTGTGGAGTAGGGGTCATTGGGTTACATGCTAAAATGCGACGTCGTGTGCTTCTCCACCGTAGATGGCTATAGCTATCGGTAATGCTCAAAGTGCCGCTTAGACGGTGCAGAGACAGGCACTCTAGCCTCTTGTCTCCATGTCTTCGTGCCAGGATCCTATGGCCTGAAGGCCTATAGAGGCGGAGGGCGCTCCTCCTGAAAACTACTTGGAAACTCTCTAACATATTGTTTTCCGAGTTTAGGGCGAGACGTGTCCTCCATTGGAAGTCTCAGAAGGGGGAAGGCGAGAGAAGTCGCCATAAAATAAATAAGTTCACGCAGGCCTCTGCATGCAAGTAGAAACTAGACGCCTGCCAAAGAAGCTCTGATCCTGTCGGTTTCGCATGCAGAGCCTCGCTGGAGTTAATGCGATCAAGGCGAGGGTCTAAGTGTTTTGCCTACAGCAAGGGGCCGTGTTGGCTGAATACAATCATACAGCTCAGCGCTACCGGTACGAAGAATATTGGCAAATGTTCAAATTTGTAGTTAGAAGACCGTTGAGTGTCTGTGCGGCTTTTGGGCCCTGTTGCCCTCTCAGCATTGCCCAAGAAGCCTCGAGCGGCAACAAAGCTCGCTGGATTTAGGTATATATATACACAGCTGCCTTTGTACTAGCGTGCCGATCCGAATGCACTATAAACCATTAGACTATCCGTTTCCCAGCAAGTACATGGGTAGCAAGGAAAAACCCACGGCCTTTAAAGAGTTTGTGCATGAGTTCCGGCGTATACGTGGAGAAAAGGGATAGGATATTTCGCCGCATCTAAGATCATTGTAAGAAAAGACTCAACTCCAGACGCAACATACACTTGATAAAACTTTCCGGAGTGTTTTTCTAAATATCTTTTTCCTTGCCTGCCCATGCCCCTGAAAATTCCCTATGCGAGGGAAGATGTACATCTAAGATGCGCGTACCTGGCCTTTCTAAGCACTTTGAGCATGCAGAGCCAGATGCTCATTGCACCTAGTGAACACACCCGTCCCATTGCGTCTTCTCGTATCAAGCTGGAAGTAATGTGAGATAAATAATGTATATGAACAGAGAAACCAGTGAGTCGATCTCTTGCCAATTCTTGGTGAAGTGTCACTGCTATAGTGAATAGTGTTGAAGTGTGGCTTCGCATTGCTACAAAGAAAAGGAATATGAGAGAGTACTGTACAACAAATCCGTTCCCAAATCGCCTAGCAGAGGAGCCGCTGGCTCTGTATGTTTCTGGAAAACAAAAGTGATCCCTTTATCCTCTAAAACAGCGCCCGCCCAACCTAAGCGCAACTGCGAAACCACATGTGCAGAAAGAAAAACAACGAAACATTGCTCAGGGTGGAAAGGAGTGGAAACACAAGAAGAAGGAAACTCTGCGAAGTTCGTGTGGTCTCCATAAGAAGAGCTTTATTCTAATGAAGCTAGAAAGGCTTGACAGCACGTTTGGAGGCATCGTCTCGGATGAGAATCCCGCCTTCTATCCTTATTACCTTACACTCTTCCGGCATGAAATGAAAGAGACAGCTGGTATGTGTGTGTGTGTGTGTTTTTTTTGTTAGCCTGCTCTTCGCGGACTTGAAGTACGTGCAGGCACATATCGCCGCTTAACGCACAGCCATCAAGCGTTGGCCATGTTGCAAGCAACTAGCACTACTCTGCAGCAAAAGTAATGCACAGACCTCCAAAATATAGCGTCAATACATATCTGGATCCCAATTAAGTCGAGCTACAGCAGTAGACCCTGCCTAAGCGCGGTAGCATAGCACAATACAGAAAGCAGATTGGTTTTCTCTGGTCTGTCTGTCTGTATAGCCTTGAAGAAGCAGGCTCCTGTTCCTCGTGCTTCCCCCTCCAAGAGCTACTGTCTTCCATTGCATAGAACACTGGCAATGCAAGGATCACGGCCTGAGCTCCTGCAGCGGAAGGCCACTAAGCGTTTCTGTAGGATTTGGCAAAGGCTTCCACGAATGGATGATTTGCTCTTCCTATGTACAGGGAGGCAGCCTGCCGTTTGTTTGCCGTCACCAGCATCGCCCCACAGCATATCAAAGAATAAACACCACCATCACCAAGAAGCACTCTGAGAGAAACTAGGAAAAATAATGCGAAAATCAACGCGAAACTGGAAGAAAGACTTAGGCGGCCGCAGTCCTTGCAGATCTCCGTGCGCGCACGGAGGGACCTACAAGGAAGTGCTTCCTCTGTTGCTAAAGGATTGTCTCCTGAATCTTTTGATGGTTTCTATAGAGAGCGCCATTGAGCTTCATTAATCGCATATTAGTGAAGAACATGAAAGCCAACGCCGAGAGACAGACCATGGAGTCTATCTAGCTTCATGTTTGTATGTATACGTGGACTATCGTCAGCTGCCTTTTATAGGAAATCCTATAGTGGTCTCGAGCCTCCTCGGGGGCCCCATGCCGTCCACTTCGCGCATTATCCGCGCAAATTTTCGCTTTATTCTTTATATTTCGACCCTTTTGAAGCTTTGAATGGCCCCTTTTATCTGTCCAAAGCGTTTCCCTTGCCCCTTTCTGCCACTCTAGACCGTGTGTCGCAGACCCGCCAACTCGGAACACATCGGGCTGTTGTCGCAAACGCAACCAACAAACAGCCTTTTCGATCTCGATGCATGGGAAGGCTTCGAGACGTAGATTCGTACCGACAGCTTGTTGTCATCACTACTTCTTCTTCCTCCATTGCTCTTGCTGCCGCGCAGGCTCCGTGTACCGGTTACCTTCCACCTTTTCTCAGTTCCTCCACTGAGGCGTCCTTCCTAAAGGATACGCTGACTGGGTGGGCGCCAGCAGCAGCAGCAAACAATAGACGCCTAATGCAGATGCTCCTCTCCTCGGATCTCTCAATGATGAGGCCTGTGTAGGGTCCTCTTGATGGCCTCTCCATATACACCAGCCACAAGGAATAGAGCAGAACTGCGCCTGCACCCCTTCCTTTCCCCCTCCCCTCCCCTTCCGCCCTTCTCTATCATCGGCATCAGCAGCCTCCGCAGGACCCCTGCTCTCCTAGATCGTTACTTCCGAAGTGTTTTCCCAGAAGCCGACACAGGAAACGCCGTCTACTGTTTTTCTTCGCTTCCTCTTGACACACAAGCAGCAGCAGACACTGCAGCGACGGCGGCTGCCGGCCGCCGTTCAAGTAGGGAGGGTGCGTCATGGAGGCTGTGGAGCTGGCACTCGGGTATCTTGCAGCGGCATTTCCCGCTGCAGCGCAAGCCGCCGATTACATAGCATCCTCGTGCATGCTAGAGAACTCCCCAGCAGCAGCAGGGAGACGCATCTCTGCCGCTGAAACAGCCGCGGATGTAGCGTCCGAAGGCACTTACATGTGGCCTCACGAGGAAGGAAGAGTATCCCCTAACTTCTCCTGGTGGGGCCCCTTGCCCTGCTACGCTGACGAGTGCAGCTCGAAGGCAGCAGCCAGACAGCAGCAGCCGCCGCCGCAAGAGGGCGAGAAGGCACTCGCAGATCTTCGAGCACACGGAAGAATGCTGCATGGTCACCAGGGAGAAGGCTGCAGCAAGCGCACTGCTCACAAGCCACGCGCACTCACCATCCGCCGACTGCGGCAAGGCGGGGGAGGAGCTGCCGCAGCAGTTATGAGGAGTTTATGGCCTTCGCGGAGCGCTAGACAGTACAGCAGTGCCACACAACATAAGGGTCACCCCCTCCGAGAGCGACGCCACTCGGTGCTGCATTTTCACAAGGAGCCTCTCGCTTCTTGTGCGCTTAACCCCAGTCACGGAGATGCACTGGAGGGTGCCTCTGGAGTCGCCGACGAGGAGCGGGTCGAAGTTTCAGCAGCCTCCACGCGCGCTGCCGCGCAAGCCGCAGCAGCAGCGGCTGCGGCTGCTGCTGTGTCTTTGTGCGATAAGCACACGCAGCACACGGCTGCGCAGCTACACGCGACCGCAGGCGCAGCCGAGAGCATCTCTAGGGCTGTAGAGACGTGGTTGCTGCTGTTGATACTGCTGCTTTTGCCCTGCTCGCTGCCGCTGCTGCAGCTGGTGCTTTTCCCCGCAGAGGGACAGGCAGCAGCAGCAGCGAACATGGCAACTGCTGCTGCTGCAGTGGCGCTCGTGGATGGGTGGCCAGGGTGGATCGCTGCCAGTACAGCATTCCTTGCTCGCCATCCGGTTGCTACAGCCCTGCTAGCTGCTGCAGCAGCAGCCGTCCTGGGATTCATCTACACGTCTGTGCTGGCGGTGCGCACTTTGTCTGTTACTGCCCGCTGCGCAGCTGCCGCCATGCAGCTGCAATCGAAGGCAGAGACAGCTGAAAAGAGGGTAATGGCGATTGCTGAGGTGGCAGCAGAAGCAGCGTCGGCGTCAGCGTGCCCGCACAGACCCTTGCTGGCTAGCGCGTCTACAGCTTCGCTTGGCAGGACGAAGGCGTTGGTCAGCAGGGGGAGCGAGTCTGCGCACACAGGGCAGGCAGAAGGATCCTCTCTCCTAACCCGTGCGTTCACGGAAGCCGGCAGAGATTCCAGGGTGACTCAGCAGGACGCTGCTTTTCCGTGGATAACAGTGACTGAGCTCCTTTCCACCCTACAGATGGACGCCTCCGACTTTGCGACTCTTCCCGCTGCAGCAGCCGCGAGGAGCTTTGCGAGATCTGGAGGGGCGTGCGGCCGGTCATCGTGCAGCAGCCTCCGTAACGCGCTGCCTGATGAAGCGGGCGCTGCTGAACAGATTCGCGGAGGCAGCAGCCACAGGAGTTGCAGCAGCAACAGCACCGACAGCAGCAACAGTGCGGGCAGCAGGGCAGACGGACCGAGCGCAACACGCGCGATCGGGAAGGCCGTCCTTGTCGTACCAGGCAACAGTGATGAAGGGAGCTTCCAGGGAGGGGGACGCAGTGACAACAGCACCGTCAGCGTGCTGCGTTCTTGGAGAAACCGAGCAACTACACTAGACATGCGACCTCCCCATCCAGATATATGGCCCCAGAAGCCTGTGCTGCTGCGCGCGATTGCTGAGCCATGGATGCTGGAGGAGCTGCGGCAGCAACGGAGACCGTCGAACGCTGCCGCGCAGGCGACTGTACGCCAACGCTTTGGACTGCGGGTTTAAGATCTTTAAATGCGCACTTCTTTACGTCCGAACTTGGAGGGCGCTTGCTTCACGCGAGGGATGAGGTGGCACTGCGTTAGTAAAAAGACGGGTGTGTTGCTTTTCAGAGTTCGCAAATCGCGCCGTCCCTTCAGATATGCCTGTGACTATAGGGTGCGAAGCCGCGGAAGCGTTTCCGACTCCGATATCCTCGTCCTCCCTTAGCGCTTCTCTCTCCCCAAGAGCCCACCGCCAGAGGTACTTGCCAAACTTTCAGCGTGAACAGAGCAGGATGGAGTGCTGGCCATATATATATATATATATATATATATATATATATATTATATATATATTATATATATAATATTATATATTATATGTATATATACACTCACATCCTCCTGCCATGGATGCCATCCTCTGTAGCATGCGGCTTTTCAGGCTAAAGATCACACTTGCGCGTGTTTTGCGTACTCTGTGTGTCTGCGTTCTTTAGCAATTCATTCCTTCGAGACGCCTTATTTCAAAGGAGCGTAAGTCTGTCCCTTACGTTCAACGCTTTTCGGGCTCCAGGATTTGCCGTGATCTCGCTGCTTCTAGATCTGTCGTGAGGCAGGCAGCGAAAACAAAGGGTTTGCGGCATTTTTAGACTCACTGCCTTTTTTGGTCTCAGGATTCTGGTCTGTTGCGTCGGCGTGGGAGGGATGGCAGACTGTGGCGCCGGAGCCTCAAAAGGGGCAACCATGCGAGTTTTAGTACAGGTAGGGGGGTGTAGACCTACCGTCCACCTGTCTATCCGGGCGACTTCCGAGGCGACGCGTTGCGTTCACTGCTTTTGAGGCAGAGGCTTCGCTCTGTAGCGCACAGGGGTTTGAGCCTCGGAGTTTCGTGCTGTCTAGTGTCTTCAGGGCCGCTTTCTCCATCCTTGGCGGCTGGGGGAAGTCTTGACAGGACAAGTCTTCTCCCGCCCTCTGCAACACCTGCCTCCTCGATGGGTTATATCGCTTGGCGTACAAGTAGTAAGAAGCCTCACGGATCTAATTGAGGCAAGTAGAATGCGAACTGAGCTCCAAGGGCGTTAGCCTGCTGCACAGGATGTGCACTGCGTTTGGCATGGGTTACCGGAATACAAACTCGCGGTTTGAGGCTTACTTCTCAGGAAGACATTGTCTCCGATGAGCCTTTTTTTCTCTCGCCCCTCGTGTGCCTTGCTGAAAAGCTCCATGTTGCACAGTGAGTCCTAAACCCTGACGGACAGCCCAAGAAGTCCAGATTCGAGCAACTAAGCCCCAAATGCCTTTGCCTCCACTCAGCGCATGCATCTGGTACCGGTACCTAAACCAAAGGGCCTACAGCACTCGAGCTTACTTTGGAGATCCACTGTCCCTGTAAGCTCTTAATGGAGGTTTCAGGGCATGTCTTGCGTGTTCTCCGTACAGTGCACCTGGGGAAGCTTGCACAGGGGAGCGTCACGTGCAAGCGCCTTCGCTGCAAAATCTGGAAGTGCCAGAAGATAGCCGCTTGTTGTTTGGTCATGATCGCTGTCTTCCCGCCCTGACTGTGGCAGAGCGAAAGAAGAAGTTGCTGAATAAGGGCCTCCTTAGAGCCATTAGGTTCAATTGCAATAACATATACACATTTGAGTTTACTCAGGTAAAGCAAAGCACTTTCCTTTTCTAGCACCCCGTCCGCCCGCATTAATACTATCAACACTCTAGCGCGCAGCCTTTCCATCTTTTGGATCTGTTTTACCCCTTTATCGGTAGAGATCCTGCTTTTAGCTGCTTTTACCTCCAAGTGTCGGTAACTAGATGACACGATCTTTTCCCGCTTCCTTAAGCTGGTTTCGCAAGTTTGGATCTCTCACCATTTGTTCTTCAGAGTTTCTTTTTACCGTCGACATACGAATTTGATTTGGGACTATTCCGGAAGAGCCTCGCTCCTTTACTAAACAAGCAGCCGGTGGAGCTCATGGCGCTTATAGACCCCGTCGCAATAGGACCCCCCGAGGGGCTTCCCTCCGTGATCGCTTCTCGCGAGGCATCAGTGGCAGCGGCGCAAGCAGCAGCAGCAATGGAAGCGAAAAACGAGCAGCATGACCAGGTGCTGGAAGTGTTGCTACCGAAGAAGCCATCGGACAGAATGTACGCGTGGAGGTTTCAGCTGCTGCACGAGCAGCTATACACTGATAGCCCCTCCAAGCTATCCAGCAGCAACCGCAGCAGCACATACAGCAACACTTACTGATCTTGCTCCCTATGGGATCATCCGCCGCTGTAAGTGACGGCCAGATTCTCAGTGTAGTTTGGTCTCGGTGCTGCTCCAAGTTCCTCCATGAGGTCTTATTTTGACCCCTTGACTTAATAGCAGTTACCAGAGTTGGGGGCTTCACCCTGCAAGGCCATTCTGCTTGTTGAAGCACTTTGCTCTAGCTGGAGTATTCAGCAGCATTTTTAGGTGTGCTTAGGTATACCACCTAAAGAAGCCCGATATTTAAGCTTGTGTGTTGGAATGAAAGGAGCCTCTAACTAAGGGTGGTAGCACCAGACGCATAGAGATAGGCTCGCTGTACGCCTAGTGCCTTGTGTATAGCGGGCGAAGCTGGTTTCTATCGGCAGTTATACTTTCACAAGTGGTAAAAAAGTATATTTTTAGCTTGGCTGGTTGCTTGCCTTTTTGCTGAAAAACTCTGGCTGAAATCAATAAGATTCAATGTTTTTGCGTGTGCCCTCCATGCTAGGGGTAACTGGCAGTAAATACTTGGAGTGCTCAGAGGTGTGCAGCTGCGGACAATTTCGCAGTGCCTCTGCGCATGTCGAGAACTTTGAGGGGCGGGGGTGGGGGAAACGAGGAAGGTATCTGTGGAGGAACTCTTGACAACGATTAGTTTCGTATCGAGTCTGGAGTTAAGTTTCTCTGTTGAGGAAAAGGTGCGTAAAGGGGTTTTCTGTTTTCAAGCTCTGCCAACCAGCAGTAACGGCAGTGGAAGCACTGAGAGGCGACTTGCTAATGGAAGCAACACACACGTTCACTTGGCTGTAAGCCAGAGTTAGCTGCTATGATATCGGCTCACCAGCGTGCTCCTAGTGGGTATACTGCTCCGTAAAGTCTTACGGATGCACTATATCCTGGGTGGTCAAATCGTCATATTTGTCTGGGTACCCAGACCTATTTGATTAAGATTAATTTGCATATGCAGGATGTACTTTTGTTGAGCTACACTGGGCCTTTCCTACCACACTGGTCACGCATTTTCAAATATTCGTCCTGACTCCTTGGCTTGTATATTTGTATTTTATTTTTAAAAGTGGTTTATTACAGAGCAAAACAAATTTAGCGTGGCAAAAATCAATATCTTGTGCCTGTGCATAATAAGCTGCTAAATGTATTAGCAACTGCGAATGATCAGAATGCGTCTATGGTTCAGCAATGCACACCCTGACTCGCAAACCTTTTCCCCTGTTGCCATAACCATGGTCGCTAGGGCATGGGGAGGAGAGAACTCTGCCAACAATTATTCAATAGCTTTCTACAATGTTTTATGTAGGGTTTTAAGTTACTAAGGTGCTTCCCTGTAGAAAACACTACGGGGAGCGTAACAAACGACAAAAATGGAATGGTGGGGGACGTTGAAGGGGGGGAACAAGAGGTATGACGATCATTCAGCATAAGCCGGTGCATCAAACACAGGCATCTTCCTCCTCTGCAGAGTCGTCGGCCTCCAGGCGTACAGGTGTCTACATGTCAATTTCCTGAGCCGTACATCCTAAAGTGGATTTCAACTAAATGGGCTGCGGAATTATCAATGCTGGCCCTCTGCAGCTCAGGCAGCTCCTTGAGGTCTTAGGGCCTTATATTGCTGAAAAATTAATGACCGTAAAAGGACTTAGACTTGCAAATAGCCTCCATTTGGGTTAGCCCAAACGTCAAACATTTTGCGTGTTGTTGGTTTGGTTGTGACACTTCGAGCAAAGGAGATTGGGGAACCTAAGGCAGTGATGTCCTCGGAATTTGTAGAAGTGGCAGCCATGGGGTTGTTCGCAGGCAGGAGGGTTGGGTGCTCAGAGATTAACCGGTTACAAATAGAGTTTAGGGTGGACCGTTACGCGACCTGAACGGCTTCTCTGAAATGGGGGGAGCTACAAAAATGGGGCTACAGATTACATTTTGTCATCTACCAGAGAAATAGCAAAAATAGTGCCTTTTTATGAGTCTAATCCATTTTTTCCATCGCAGACAGCAGCGCAGAGCTCCTGCTGCAACACGAGTAGGAGCGGCGGCAGCTGCAGCTGCCACCGCTCGTGCAAATTAGACGAGCAGCAAAAAGCGCATGCAGCAGGATATTTTCAATCTTGAGTTCATATTTTCATCTGGACGGACGCCTCAGCTTGAGTCCCCTTATTCCTTGTGACACCGGCTCTCTGTAGCCTACGACGAGCTCCTGGTGGTCTACGCCAGGATTTTGGTTTAAGGGGACCAGAGTAACCCTGAGGTGGCAGGGTCGTCTCCTCCAAATCGAAGTCATAAGAAATTTCCAGCCCTAGCATGGCCTGCAGTAGTAGGGTTTGGGATCAACAGTTTGCGGTGTATGCACTCCACCCACCATACGGCCACAAACAGTAGATGCACATTCGCCGAGACCACTTCTCCCCTTCTCTGGCCATCTTCCCACTCTTTCCGTGCTTCTCTTAGTCCTCAGTGGTCCAGGCAGCAGCAGCAACGGCAGCAGTGCCAGCAGCGGCCACATACGCAGCGTGTCAATGGTTCTGTCACCACGGGGACAGGCCCCTGATGGGCAGGGTACCCGTGAGGGTGGGCCCACGGGGGGCCCCCTAGGGCAGCCAGGGCAGCAGAAGGTTCTCCATTTTAAACTGGTTTTGCTAGGGGACACTAGCGTGGGCAAGAGCTGTCTTGTCGTCCGCTTTGCTAAAGATGAATTCTACGAGTACCAAGAGAGCACCATTGGAGGTAAATTTCAAGCAGTGTGAATCTATCCAACTATTCAAGTGCTTTAGGATAGGGAGTGTAAGGCGGTGAGTGGTGAACACCCGCAGAGAGGAGCTCAGCACGTGCGCGGTGTGTCTAGGTGTGCACTGACAGCGTAGGTTCCAACATGTAGGGATTGTCCATCTGCAGTGATAGACTGATGGCCCTGAGCCAGAGGTGTGTCTCCTAGATAGCCAGCCACAGCAACGCTTATTGTTACAGCAGCAGCAGCAACTCTGAGAGGATGTAGCAGGACGGAGACTTGTCAAGTGTGGCGGTCCCTGCTGCATGGTCTCACTCAGTGGGGTCTATGGCAGCAGTGCTTCAATTCTGTGCGTTTTGTGTATGTACATCGCTCTGCACGTGTTTCGGCTTGCGCTTTCCTGCAGCGGCCTTCATGACTCAGTCTGTGGACTTGGGAGACTGCATCATAAAGTTTGAGATCTGGGATACTGCGGGGCAGGAAAGATACCGTTCCTTAGCTCCCATGTATTACAGGCAAGGACCTAGGGTTGAGGTTGTGCGCCTTTTTTTTGTGTTTCAGCAGTTCAAATTCAGGCCAGGCTAAAAGCGACAAAAGCTGAGTTGCAGGTGTTCCGGTGTACGGGGGGCTAACTGCCACATCTGTCACTGCCACTTTGCCGTTCCTGCAGAGGCGCAGCAGCAGCAGTGATCGTGTTTGATACAACGAACCGAGATTCGTTCGAGGGTGCCAAGTCATGGGTCGCTGAGCTGCAATCCATTAATGACCAGTCGTCGCTCGTAATGGGTTAGCTGGGGAGTAGAGACACTACAGTGCTAGAGTTGAATGCCCTTTCATGCTCTCTTGGGTGTTGCTGTAGAGCGTGCAGGCCGACGAGTGCATGCGCCTAGATTTGCGTGCTGTACAGTTTCGGGTCTGTCATTTATTCTGCTTTGCAGCTCTAGCGGGCAACAAGATAGATCTTGCTGCTGAAAGGACTGTTAAATCACAAGTCAGTGCTTTTGTACTGCAAAACTAAACGTGATCCAGGGACGGGGCAGCAGGTCGGAGGAGTCGCACTGCTGCTGCACTGCTTTGGACGTTGTTGCTGCTGCTGCACGCGTTGACTCTGCTGCCGCTGCCGCAGGAAGCGCAACAGTTTGCGGAGGAACAAGGCATTTTCTTTATTGAGACTTCAGCGAAGACCGGTCAGAACGTTAACGAGCTTTTCTATGAAATCGGTAAGCCCTATCGAAGGAACATCTTCATCATCACGAGCCGCACTCACTTGATGCCTTTTCAGGCCTTTCCGATGCGGGCTGCTGCGGCGTTTTACCACCTGTCTGCTTGCTATGTTCTTCGCCACTCTTCGACTGTTCAGTGCCATATGTTCTATCTCCAGTGCACGCGGTTCCCCCTCAGCTTCTCGCTCGGCACGCCCTTCCCCCTGCTCGACACATTCAAGCACCCCGCTTTTCTTGCGCACTGTTTTTGCTGCTGTTTCTGCAGCGCGGCGACTGCCCAAGAGCAGAAAAGAGCACGACCCCCAGGCTGGATTTCAAATAAACAAAACTGTGTCAGACAAAAAGCCGGGCTGGTGCTCCGGCTGCAGCAGCTCGTGAAGAGCTAGCATTCTTGTTACAGCCTTGAATGTAATGCCCCGCAGCAGCGTCTCACACCATCAGCTGCAGCGAAGTGGACGCATCGCGTGTAGCTCAAGGCAGTGTTGTCGCTGCTGCTGCTGCGACAGCTTGCCTGCTTCAACTTTTGAGCACGAGAGGGTTTGCTAGGCCTTCACGATAGGTGAAGTGGCATTTTACGGTCGGCAGACAACGGAAGCAGGCATAGAGATACGTGTCGAAAACAATTCATGCTGGGGTCCTTGCATGCACAACGGCAAAGTGGCTGCACAACACGGGGTGTATGGACGACTGCCCCCATCCTCCACCGTCGTCTTTTTTCTTGTAGGCTCTCTGGATTTGTGTAGGACGTCAGCATGCAGAGAAAAGCAGGATCCTGCTTTACAGGGTCTACAGCCTTAAGAGATCACAGAAAACCTCTGCAAGCAAACGGCAGTTAGAAATCAGCGCAATAGGCCAAGATATCCCTTTGCCCGCCCTCAGCGCACTTATTTACGAACATAGTGCACGTGCGCAGGAGACCCAAGCACGAGCTGGAAACGCATCTTGACGCCAAATACCACCTCGACTGCGGAAGCATTTCTCTATAGGGAGAGCGCGTCGCGTCCTGGTTTCGCTAGCTGTGGAACCGACTAGCTAGCTGACACTCTACGCCCTTCGCTATCGCTTGTGCGCAGTTAGTAGTTTAGGATCATGGCGTCTCGGTCAGCTCCGACTCCGATCCACCAGAAAGGTACCCCAAGGAGTTCTTGGATACGCTGGATGTAGCCTCTTGCGTTGGGTGGCAGTTGGTCGAACTGCTTGCAGGCAGAGAGGTCTTCGGTCCATCCGTTGAACTCCTCATATACGGGGACAACATTCCGAAATTCCGCCTGTGTGAGAGGATAAAAAAAGGCGTCGTACTGCTTACCCGTCTCTTTATTCTTGTAGGCAACACAAAGTTTTAGGGTGTCTATTCCCGTCAGGACGTCGACCTTTGTTAAGCACAAGCCATGAAAGCCATTAATGCGGTGTGCATGCAGGAGCATGGGTATATCTAGCCATCCGCAACGGCGGGGGCGTCCCGTTGTAACGCCGTATTCTCCGCCCTGAGAGCGAAGGCGATCCCCTATGGCATCAGTCAGTTCTGTAATCATTGGTCCCCCCCCCACTCGCGTGCAATACGCCTTTACGACCCCCACAACCATGTCTAACTGCCGTGGTGGAAGCCCTGAACCCAAACATGCGTTGGCTGCGGTCGTATTGGAAGAAGTCACGAACGGATACGTCCCCATGTCAATATCTAAAAGGGCAGCATTCGCTCCTTCAAGTAACAGCCGCTCGCCTCTCCCTAAGGCAATATGCAACAAGGAGCACGTGTCTGTGATACTCCTAGACAAGAGCTGGGCGTACACTCTGTGCCGTCTAAGCTCGTCTTCCGTATCGACCCCGAGGTCTCCGAACTGCCTTTCTAGTTCTGAAGCTAGCCGCCTGTAACTAGATTCAAAAGTTTTCCAATCCAGCAGATCACCAGCCCTAATGCCACTCCTAGATACTTTAGTACTATAGCACGGGCCTATTCCCCTAAGTGTGGTACCGAGAGCGCCCCCTCCCCCCGCTGCTTTCCGCCGCTCCTCTATGCCATCAATAGCCCTGTGCAAGTCAAAGAGCAGATGCGCTCGGGAAGAGATGTAAACTCGAGAGACCACGCTATCTGGTAAGGGTTGACTCTCCTCTTCGTCTGTCCCTCTACCGCTCTGCAGCTCCTCTTGCTTCTGCTTTGCCGTCGCCGGATCCAGCCCGCGGATCTCCTTGATGAGTTGCTTCAAATGAAGGACAACTCCATTACCGAGGATAGCCGTCGCATGCGGATGCAATATGCCGCACGGGAGAACGTGGAAGCTTCTTTTCTGTCCGTCTACCACTAGTTGGTGCCCCGCATTGTCTCCGCCATTAAAACGGCAGCAGTGATCTGCTCCTCTGCACAAGAAATCCACCAACTTGCCCTTGCCTTCATCTCCCCACTGAGTTCCTAGGACACACACCACCTGAGGAGACACCCCAGAGGGGCCGCAAGACCAATCCGTTTTTGCCGCAGGACACATCGCTTCGAGCGCCTGTGCTACAGAAATGGATGGGAAGCGGTGTGGCTGCTGCCGAATGGTTTGAGCGCGCTGCACGTCCTGCCGAAGGGTTGGAGCTAGCGCTATTGCTGCTGAGGATCAAGCCGATGCAAATGCAGCTGCCGCTGAGACTGAGGAAACGGGTAGGCACGGTATAGGTAAACGGGTAAAAGGCGAACTTGCCTTGTACAACAGGTGGCATAAAATCTGCCACGAGGCGCAGCGAAGGACGCGGAGAGAGAGGACCCCTGACGGGCAGATCCTGAACCGAAAGTGTGCAGCATTCAGTACCATACCTAGGAGTGCACCTGCTTCTTCCACCACTTGTAAGCTGTTGTATATACATGCACGCACATTTATGATGACGAAAAATTTCATCTTCTCCCCAGGATTGCAGCTTCCACCAACATGAAGACTGGGGCCTCCACCATCAGCCCCACTGGCCGTACCTTCGAGGGGTTGAGTCAGGAGTCCACCCGTGGGAACTTTCATGAACAACTCAAGAATCAAGCTGTAGAGGTGGCTCTAAGGTTGAGCAGAGGCACCTATTTTGCTCTGATTGAGCTTGACCTCTCCATGCAGTATAGTTGTGAGGGCTTTGATCATTGAGCATCGGGAGCGGCAATCGCAGGCGAAGGATTCAGATGCGAAGACACTCAACGCGTGGAGGGACACACAGAGTTCGAACGGTGGCGAAAAAGACGAGTAGACAAAAGCAACGCCTCTTCTTCTGCTCGCCTAGCTCCGTATGCTTGCAATTGCGCGTTGTGCCGTGACCACAAAGGATGCCTCCGTAACATCCTCACGACACGCAACTAACGGAGCCGGACCATAGATGGAGGGCGGCCATGCAGCCTAAAGGCAACACTCCATGGGTCTCTTTTGACGCCCTGAGAGTCTCTGGACTGGGATCTGCAGCTGCAGCTGCAGCCGCTGCTGCAGCTGCCACAGCAGCAGCGAATGAGGATGCTGCAGCAAGAGGAGCCTATTCAGGGGTTCCCAGGGATGCTGCAGCTGGGGAGGAAGAGAAATGGGCTGCTGCATCCCCGGAGGGGCGATATGTTGAGGGGAGATTGAGGGCCTCTGTAGATCGCGAAACTGCAGTGTTGTTACAGCTGCAGATGCAGCAGGCGCAGCATCAAGCGTATCAGAGCCAAGTGCAACCGCAGGAGCAGCATCAGGATCAACGGGAACTGCAAGAGGCCACATACCGCATACAGCGCATCACTTTCAACGACCCGGCAATCCAAACGCTCCACGAGAAGAAACGACACGTGACTTTGGATTTGTTCTTAGCACCTCAGAGTCTATCCGGATCTGGCATTCTGCGCGTTGTTACCCCCTTGCAGGAGCACAAGCAGCTCTACCGCACCAACAAATCATGCGAGAGCCTTGTGTTGGTCCACGAGGCCCCCGTTTCTGGAGGCATGCAGGAGATGCTGGAAGCACTGAATTTCAAGTGAGGCAAAAAGCAGCCAAAGGTCTACTCGGTTTTCAATTTGTATTTTCAAGCCCCTCATCTAGAATCTAGGGTCTGCGGTTTGTGCCGCAGGCCTCGCGCCGTGGAATTTGTACGGCGGAGAACTTTCAAGTTGAATATATCGGGAAGCCTCGTCGAAGCCTCGCTCAATTGGAGATTTCGAGTATGTGTGCACTGCCGCTGATGGTCCTGCCAGTGGTGCTCTTGCCCTGCTATTTGCTGTGTATGTGTGTATGTACATATGTATATATATGTATATACATACAAATATATATATATATATATATATATATATATATTTGTATGTATGTATGTGGCGCTGGTGTTGCTGCAACTGGTTTGCCTGGTGCTGTGGGGGTCTTGAAGGGGTTGTCTGCATCTGTGGGGGTGCCGAGTGTGTTGCAGGACGAGGCAGAGGCTGTAGAGACGCGTCCAGGAGAAGTTACAGTTGATCTGGTTGCTGCGGCGCTATCACGCATGCCTCCCCAGCAGATGCACCAGCACCAGCAGCCGCAAGAGCAGCAGATGCAGGAATTACAAAGGGAATATCTGGAGGAGGTTTGGCATCCTCTGCAACAAGCCGCTGCGGCATACTCCGCCCTCGCACTCTTTGAGCCTGTCGGGTTCTCCTCGGAGTTTTAGTTCATAAGAAACAAACGCTTACCGCGTTTCTTTTGGCCCTTCAACGATCAAGTATAGGCTCTCTTGCGTCAAGGGGTCACCACAAGCCCCTCTGGCCACCCTCTTTTGGGGTGCTGTATGTACAAACTCTCCTTAGCCCACATGCTGTTTGCCTCTGACCGAATGCATTTCAATACTTGACTGCACTTTAATACTTTCTCCCCCCGCCTCCTAAGTTTTGCACTCGCCTTCCCAGTTGTCAGCTGCGCTGGCGCCTCCCCTGCCTCCTCTCAGTCTAAACCACCGTATCTCTCCCCCCCTTATGCCCCCCTGTCACGTCGCTACACGCTTGTTGCCCGGCGTCTCGCCGCTCTCTCAGTCTACGCATCCAGCCAAACGCTGTGCTAAACGAGAACCGAACGCGCTGCAGCAACCCCAGCGGCAACCACTGGTGGCTCTGCGACTGCTCTTCGTGCTGCCCTAGTCTAGACACCTGGTAGGCAGTTAGGCTCTTGCTGCAGCAGACGACGGAGACAAAAGAGCGAAGGGTGCAAGGACCCCCGCAACACCCATTTGCTGTTGCCGCCGTCCCGGCGATAGCGCTGCAGAAGCACAACACAGCGATAGCAGCAGCAGCAGCCACAGTATGCAGCGGATGCATAAAGCAGCAGCAACACACGCAACGGCTCTCACTTTTTCTGTCTCAAGTTCTCGAGACCCCATCAGCAGCCAAGAGCATGCCAGCAGCAGAAAGCCTGTCAGCAGCAGAAAGCACGCCATCAGCAGAAAGCATGCAAACAGCGATCACCTTGAGCAGCTCCGTGCCACCCTGCACCACAAGGCCGTCTCCTGCAGGCGTCAATTCTGCGCATAAGGGCAATTGCATCTGTTGCACCCGTGCCTTTAAATCGCGGGGTCCAAGGGGTCCTAGCAACAGCAGTGGTCGCCGCTTGGCTGTTCCTGCTGCAGCTGCTGCTAAGACTTCCTCTACCCTCTCCCCATGGGAAGGAGTCTGCTGTTGTGTAGAGCCGCCTTCCGCCAATGTTGCGGCTTCATCCGGCGCGCAAAGCAGCACTTGAGGCTCCAGCGGCATTGACCAGAACCCCCCAAGATAGCTAGGGGCGAACCGTCGCTGCCGCTTTTTGCTGCTGTCGCTGCATGCGCCACAGTGAAGACATATTCGTAGGGAGACGGAGCACCTTAAAACAGCAGCAGCAGCGGCACAGCTTCAGCTGCAGGCGCAACACCGAGACGGCTAAAAAACAAAGCTAAGGAGCTTGCTGCTGCATGAGCTCACCCGCCTGTTACTCCAGCGAAGGGCTTGCCCCTGCTGCTGCTGCTGCCACTACTACCATCGGACGCTTGTGGCGTGCCAATCGCACGAATACGAGCTACATGGATAATCGCTGGCTTTCTTCTTGCAGCCGCAATGCAGCGGCCGTCCGCTTCTGCGATAGCCGCATCAAGGGTGGCCGAAGCAGCCGCAGCAGCACGTGCGGCGGCATCAACCAGCGGTGTGCCTTCGTGGACATACACCCCATGATGCAGAGCCTCACCCCACAGACGAGCAGACAGTCCCGCTACCGCTTGAGTGGAGGGCAGCTGAAGCATCGCGCTGCTGCTGCCGCTCGCTGCACAGCCCTCGGGAAGCAGCAAGTGCAGCCGCTGCTCCTGCTCGTGCCTCTCCATTTCAACAAACCAGCTAAGCCTCGCGGTTGCTGCCGAAGCAAGTTCGCGCTGGTCCTCATGCTGCACGCCTTTTGGCCAAGACAGCGGGGGCAACAAGAGAAACAAATGCCGTGGATCTAAAGCGCACAATACGGCGTCGAGCTCCTGCTGGGTCGTATGCCCCGCCACATCACAAACCTCCGCAAAACATCGCAATGTCACCGTCTCGCGAGTTTCCTTCCACATGCATGGATCCGATCCCCCACACCATCGCCTGCGAAGGGGGCAGCAACATCAGGAAGAGCCAACTACATGCCAAAAAATGACAGACACACAGATATATACACACATACACGCATACAGAGATCCATATATATATGTATACATACAGATACAGACATAGAGAGCCAGATATACGTACAGATGCAGGCATATAGAGAGCCAGATATACATACAGATGCAGGCATATAGAGAGCCAGATGTACGTACAGATACAGGCATATAGAGAGCCAGATATACGTACAGATGCAGGCAAATAGAGAGCCAGATATACATACAGATACAGACATAGAGAGCCAGATATACGTACAGATGCTGGCATATAGAGAGCCAGATGTACATACAGATACAGGCATATAGAGAGCCAGATATACATACAGATACAGGCATATAGAGAGCCAGATATACGTACAGATACAGATACAGACAGATACAGATACAGATACAGACATAGAGATACAGACAGATAGACAGGTGGATATACACACGAACAGAGAAACATATACACAGACAGATATACATACACACGAACAGAGAAACATATACACAGGCAGCCCCCCATACACCGGGACGTATACACACAAACGCGTACACACATTTACACCACCAGGCACTACTCCCCCCTCTTCAGCTGGACCTCGTTTGCTCATCTTACCGTAGCTGCTGCCTCCAGTGAGGTCTTGTTGCTTCTGCTGCGGCTTCTGCTGGACCCCTGCTGTGTGTGGCGACAGCGGCGGGAGCGAGAGTAGCATCCGCTAGCTCTCGAAACTTGAGAAAGCGGCTACGTGGACCCCCTCGTACTGCAGCCATCGCTGCTTCGGCCAGTCTCTGAGCTGCCGCGTGGCTAGGAAACATTAACAAAGGCTGTGGCTCTCTGTCGTTGTTGCTTTCGCCTTCATCAGACTGGTCGCTCCCCTCACTGCCATCCATCCTGACTCTTCTGGTAGCAGAAGTTGCTGCGGGTGTCTGAAAGGCAGCAGCGGCAGCAGCAACGCAGTGGCAGGGTGTGGAGTCGCAGTGCAAAGGGCAGTAGGAAGCGGCAAGGAAGTGACTACCCCTCGCTCTCGTCGCTGCATGAGCCGCAGCCGCAGCACGCAATTCGGTGCGCCAAAAGCCCCTCACCATTGTCTGCATGCGCCAAGCTTCCTTGAGGCGCTCTTCGACAGGAGCTCCGCATGCTGCGACTGCTGCGGACTGCTGAAGTTGCTGATCTTCCTCTCCCTTGGAGTCGTCTTCTGCCTGCCCTCCAGTGACTTGGTGCTGCAGCAGGTGATGGGCAGCTGCAGCCGAAGCTGCCGGATCCGTAGTTTGACTCAGACCAAACAAAGGCTGGGCATAGCCGCAGCGGGAGGGCCAAAAGACACCGCTGTCGGCTGCAGTCGCTCTAACTTCATCCTCCCCTTGCTGCTGCTGCTGCTTTCCAGAGGTTTCCTCCGCGTGTGCAGCTGAAGCAGCAACAGCAGCAGCCGTCTCCTCCCTCTCGTCCTCAGAGGTGTCGCTGCTGGCGTCTTCCACATCCCCGTCGGGTGGGACCGTGCCAACTGGGAAATTTTCTGCCGCTGCTGTTTCTGCTGCTGCTTCTCCAGAAGCCGTTCTGCTGCTGCTGCTGCTGCTGCCATCGTTCTCTTCCTGAGTCTGCTGCTGCTCCTCGAACGGGAATGCCGCGGAGTCTGCCCGCCCCTTCACCTTTTGCAGCTGCTGCTGCCTCTTTCGCAGCCTCCTGACCTTCCGTTCTAACTCGAAGCGCGCATACAAGGCGTCCACGGGCAGAGGCACCTGTTGCCGCTGCTGCAGCAACAGCTGCTTCCTCGAGGCTCCTCCAGCAGAGAAACTTTTGCATGCCGCCAACACCTCCGCTGCTGTCGTTCCTGCACAGAGCCGCAACAAACAGCATGACACTACATAGGCTTCTGAAGCAATCGGCGGCAAGCATTTCTCCTCGCACGAAGCAGCCCCTCACGGAGGTCCTCTCCCTCGCCCAAAACGCGTCCATCCAGATTCACCTTGTTGGGGATGCGTAGGAAAAATGATGCGACATTGTTCGGAGGCAGCGGCAGCAGCAAACGCATCCCTAGCGACTCCTGTATCCAGGGAGCCGGGAGCGAGCAGCAACAGCCGACCGCCTCCTTGGATCTGACTGCATGCGAGGAGCTCTTCGAGCTGCTTTCGCGTGGCAATGCACAGCAAATGACCAAATTGCTGCTGTTGCTGCTGCTGCCGCTTGTCTCCCGCTGCTGCGGAGGCAGCTGCAGCTGCATATCTGGACTTGTTCCCTGTCGCACCAGCCGTCTCCGCTACGGTGGGAGCCGTAGCTTCTGCGGAGCAGGCTGCTGCGACTGCTGTGCTTGCAATGAAATGCTGCTGTCGCTGCACGGCAATCCCCCACGCCGCGCGGCTCGTAGCGGCAGCGAGCAAAGGTTTAGCAGCTTCCAGAAAGGCTGAACTTCCAGGGGATACCAAACACAGCGGTGCCTGTTGCAAAGCAGAAGAAGAATCCCACAGTGCGTCCAAGTGCGACGCCAGCATCAGACACGTCCCTGAAGGCAGACCCCACCGCAGGTCGTATACGTATAATAATAATAAAAAAACATACATACATACATACATACATACATACATACATACATACATACATACATACATACATACATACATACATACATACATACATACATACATACATACATACATACATACATACATACATACATACATACATACATACATACATACATACATACATACATACATACATACATACATACATACA